TGTAGTGTAGTTATTAAACCTTCATTTTTTATTATCATAATTGATTCTAAGCTTGACACGATGAGATACAATTGTTGCTTCTCATCATATTGATAGAACACCAAAAAGACAACTTATTGTAACGTTCGCACTTACAGAGAGAGTAACTCGATCATTTCTTGAATTTTAATCTTACAGCAATAATGCTGAAAACTTTTATTGACCGTTTTGAATCAAGTGGAATAAATATACTAATGTGTTTTTTTAAAACTTTTTTATATAAATAATACAACTACGCGTAACTATCATTTATGAAATAAATGTTTTCGATATACAATGCTCAAAATTATAACCACATGGCAGTTCCGATTTTTTTTAGTGCCAAGTATCTAACAGAGAACTTGATTTTCTATATGAATCACTATTTGGATATGAATTAGATGCTCAGCATTACAGAAAAAAAAATCATAATTGCCATAATTTGAAAAAGTTCTTTGAAAATAAGATTATGATAAGATACCTAGTTTTTCAATTTGTTCTCCTCTTGCTATACATAAATCATTAACTTCTTTTAATTGTTGTTCAATTTTAATTTTTTGATTTGTTAATAATTTAATTTGTTCATTAAGATTATATTCTTGTTGTTCATGTTGTTTTTTTAAATCATTTATTTTTTTATCATGTAAATCTTGTAGAATTTTTTTTGATTGTTTATCATCATTAATTAATTGTTGTAAACGATGATTTGTTTCATCTTGTTTTTTACAACGATTTTCATTTAATTGTAAATCACTTTTTGTTTTATTTAATGTATTATTTAAATATTCAAGATGTTTTGATAAACGATCAATATCTTTTGTTTGACAATCAGACCAATGATTAATATTATCTAAGGAAAATAAATCAGTTATTGTGCATCGATATTGTGCAAGTGATGATGGTAAATTATATGTATGACATAAATTTATTAAACTATCACTATGATCACGAAGACATTGTTGAAATTTTAAACATGATTGACATGGACCCATTAATGTTTCATTTGTTTGACAACGTTTTTCAATATTTAAAGTTGTTTTTGAACGTGATAATGTTGTTGCTGTTGTTTTTGTTTCATTTTGATTTAATCGTTTACGTTCATTCTAAAAAAAAGAATGATTGATTATTTTTTGAAATATTAAGTATACCCCCTCCGAACCTCGTGCTGTTGAAGCACGGTATATAAATGTAATAATTTGTTCCAATATTTTTTAACAACTAAACCAACACTAAGACTTGATTTTTGATTTATTGTTGATGATGAATCAGCTGTATTTGGTAAAATATTTGTTTGCATTTCATGTAAATATCGCCATGATCCATGTATAATAAGTAAAAGTCTAATTTAAAAAAATCAAGTTTTAGAAAAGATAAAGATGTACAAGAACATATTTCGATCTCTTTTACTTTTCAAAGTTCAACTAAATTCAAACATACGTAGAATGAAAGATCATAAGTTAATGATCATTTTGACTTGATTATACGTTTAAATAGAGTTTATTTTCACGACATACTAAATACGTAGTTAGTTATGACTACTAACCAGTAATATGAGAATTTGTCTAACAAAAAATAAATGAAGATGAACAATGATTCAAAATTATTCTGATAATGATTGGTTTAGACTACATTTTCATAATAGAAGTTGCATCATTGTATTAATGCTACTTCCGCCATACTGAGTTCATCATTTGTGAGACAAAATTTTCAACTGGTAGTTCACGGTTGTCAAGCAAATAATACCCATTTGATTTCAACTGAACAACACCTTTGAAATCAGCATAATAAAGTGAGTCAACTTATGTTGCTTGTAAACTTTTTCTGCTGATCAAATTTTTAGCCTTCGACCTCCCTCAGGACTATGTGGAAAATCAATTTAATCAAAAAATCATAGCTGCAGTGGAAAGCAACGCGTATACTAGTTAAATACTATTTTAAGACAAAAAGACACGTGACTAAACAATAAAATAGCTCTTTCGATAAAATCCATTTCTCCACTTATTCTTAAGTAGGGTCAAAGGGTAAAAATTGGAACAGAAAAAAAAATGTCGCAAAAAAATGTTGACAGTTACATTTAGTTGACTCACGTTTTTCTAATGATTTCAAATATGATATTTATTTGACGTAAAATGGATATTATTTGTTGCTTGAAAATCGGCAAATGTCACTTGAAAATTTGGCCTCAAGAATAGTAGACTAATCGTTTTGTAAGGCTTCAAACGTTCAATCGATTACGAAGTGCACTGAATTTGGAGGAGGTTTTATTAATTAAATAATGAAACTTCTATTATGAAAATGTAGCCTAAATAAATTCCTATCAGAAAAGGTTAGAATCCTTGTTCAATTCTATTGATCTTCTATCAAATTAATTCTCACATTGTTGGCCAGTTTGAATAATTAAATACTCATTTAATATGTCTTGAAGATAGGTCCTATTTAAATCTATAATCAAGTCGAAAGAATCATGAACCCATGACTTCTCATTAGATATATGATTCCATTAGGTTGGACGTTGAAGATCAAAAGAGACTGTAGTGAGTTCTTGTACAATTCTGTTCTATAAATATTTACCGATCAATAATAATTTCAAATAAAACGATATGAGAAACTTGATTATCGACTTCATTTTTTCCATATTGATAACGTTGAAGAAGTTCATTTATGTCAATATCGGTCGCAATTTTATCCGGAAACTTCCATGAATGACATCTATATAAATATTTTATTTTGAATTAAATAATTTTCTTTCTTTAATTTTTTGTTTATCTTACTTAATAGATCCTGTTTTGCCAATAATATCTTGAATGACACTTTGCAGATCATCAATATCTACACGTAAACTATCAATGCATGCTTTACTTCCAAGAAGATGAGCCATTTTATAAATGTGTTTAATCGAACAATTTATCCACCATATTTAAATTAAATCCGTTGCTTAGCAACGATCTCACTTTATAAATATTGTTTTAAGTATTTGATATATCAATATTGTAAAAGATAAATTCATTATGAAAAAATATATTTCTTCTTAATTTTTAATATAAAAATTCTTTTACCAATAGAAATTAAATCAATGAATCATCATGATGAAATTTTCTAACTGCCTTGTCTATATATTTTTCTCAAACATACTTTTTTCCCATGCATTTGTAAAGCAATTTTGTACTTTTTTCTTCTTCGTTATTTCGTAATCAATGATTGTATCATTTTTAGAAAACAATAGATATGACAGATTCTGCAATACGTTCTTCTTTACAACAAAAACCATTAACAATCATAACAAATCAACGTGAAAAAACCAGTAATGGAACAGTTGATACAATTAATCCGAAAAGTCCATTAGAATTTACATGGACATTTTGGTATATTAAACCAGATAAACGTCTTACATGGGAACAATCATTAATTAATTTAATTGATATTAGTTTTGTGGAAGATTTTTGGGCAACATTTAATCATTTAGCATCACCATCACGTCTTTCACAAAATAAATCAAATTCTGATTATTATTTTTTTAAAAAAGGAGGTAAGAATTTTATTTTTCAATCTTTTATTAATCTATATAGATAGTAGAGATGGGACCGGTTCTTGTGTTTTTTCTTTTGGAACTGAACCAAGCTCAGTATTTAATCTAGCGAGAGGATGGCATCTCTCAGAAGATTTGGTTGACCCTCCCAAACTTAAAAGCCAATACGATTTACATGAGAATATTTTATTAAACATATTAATGAGTATTTTCAAGCTTATTACAGATTGTAACAAATGAATGTTATTGCATTTGTTTCTTTTCATAAGAGAATGTGAATTCCTTCAGGCGTTCTGTTTTTGATTCACAAGTAGCTCTTTTATTTGAACAGCTTGAATGAATCAATAAATACTTGAATAGACTATTTAATCTTAAAAAACTTTTATTGAATTGATGCGTCAATAATAGGGGTGCATAAGGCATGACGCCCCCGTGTTTTCTGAAAATCATTCACACAATCCCCCTCCCCCTGCATCCAATATTGAGTATTGTACCTAAACATTTTCTAACAAATCTTATAATATGTTTTTATTTTTAATTTTAGTTCGTCCAATGTGGGGTAAATATTTATTTTGTTTTGTTATTCTATATATATATATCGCTTTGTTTTTTTTATAATATAGAGGATAAGACCAATGCAAATGGTGGTCGATGGTTATTAACATGTGGAAATCAAGATAATAAACTTGATGAATTATGGCTAGAAACTTTACTTGGTATGATTGGTGATTGTTTCTCACATGATACGTATGTAATCGAAGAAAAAAGATCATATTAAAAAAAAAAAATTTTTTTATTATTATCTATTATTTTATTTCAGTGATGCTGAACCACTTAGTCATTTTATAACCGGTTGTGTAGTTGCTATTCGTACTCGTGGTCATAAGATAGCACTTTGGTTATCTGAAGCACGTAATGAAGCAGTTGTACGCGAAATAGGTCGTCGTTGGAGATCGATTATGAATTTATCACCAAATATTCGTATACAATTTGATATGCATAATGAAAGTAGTAGCGGTTCACAACGGCCAATGTATGAAGAATAAACCAAATAAAAAAACAAAAGATATCTATATTAGGCGAATTTCTTTTATCTATCTCATTTTTCTTTTGTCTCTCTAGCATTTTGTGTTAATTATTTCTCTCGGTTATTTTTCTTTTTCATTTGGTTATTTAACACTTTTTGTTTTGTTGAGTCAAAAAAAAAGATGGAGTTGGTTAAAAAGAAAAAAAAAAGTTTTTTTATATTTGGTAATGTTTATTTGCGAACAGTTGTTATGATACTATATATATATGTTCATTTGATTGAGAAGAAAAAGAAAAAGTATTGTTAATCATAAGATGATTAATAAAACAAAATTAATCAAGAAAAAAAGACAAAGAAAATAAACAAGAATTAATCTTTTCTCTTTTTTTTAATTTCTATTTGTTTCTTAATTGTTGCTGTTTTTGTTGTTTAAAGCACAAGACGAATTTCATTATTATAGTCATCGAATTTCGGTTCATGATACTTAAAAAGAAAAGTGAAAAAAACTAGAAAATATATTTTATGTACTTTTCTTACTTCATAAATAAGTTGAATATCAGATGGAATATTAAGTAGATCTTTAAATTTCATTCCAATTGATTTAATTAAATTTAAATCATCAATCTTTTTTAACCATAAAGCTAATCGATCACCTTTGACACGTAATGAAACAACGGCACCATTGATATATGGACTCAAATTAACACCAAACATGTCGCCAATAAGAAGTAACATCTGAAGATTATATATACATACCAATGGATTATTTTTATATTTTCATTATCGAAACATATGTCAAAGAACCTACTGATTAAGACGAATAGCTATTATCAAATACTACTTGAGAGGGATTAATGAGAAAACGAAAATAGTTACTTAGAATCAAATGATTATACTCATGGCTAATGTCTTATCTAAAACTGTGTCATTATAAATAACTTTTCAAAAGGATAGAGTATAAAATCGACATAGGATTATATTTGATCTTAGTTGACATTTCAAAAATTGTACGATATATTTATTTACATAATGAATAATTTAATTCTTACTAAATGAAGCCAATAACCATCAAGATCACGTTTACGTCGTTTTGGATCAACTGTAATTATCCATTTACCACCACCACGTGATGATACATCTTCCCACCTTTTCTTCTTTTAGATAAAAATAATTTAACAATAATTATTAAAATTACTCACATTGGAAGACAGCCGGACTATATTTAAAAAAATCAAAAAAAAAATTAAATTATAAATTATCCTAAGAATACTTCTCTACTAATCAATTATCAAAAATAATTTTAGATTATCTTGTAAATGGGGCAGTCCTCGTTTTCAGTTCAGTCATGATTAGTTATTAATAGAATCTATGGTACTTTTTTATTTTAAAGCAATCATTGCATTTGTTAGTATGATTCATACATACATACAGCACTGAGTGACGATGAAGGTTATATCTAAAGCAAACAAGTACTTGATCATTACTAAGACATATATCAAATACGAAAAACGAACACACAACATGCTAGTTACAATTATATATTGTAATGCACTTGTACTTAATTATCAAGGTTTTCTAATAAGCAATTCAATACAAGCAAGTCATAAAACTAAAGAAGTTAGTTTTCTTCATTATAAAGGTTGATCCATAAAGAATGAAACACTCTTGTGTTATTTTTTCTTCTAAAGAACAGCCATACATTTCAAAAGCTTTATTCTAAACTCATTTGATGGAGCGTTTTTCGCTCTATAAAGCTGTCTAATTTGTTTTTCAAATAAATTTTTCTTGCCGGTACAAAGTTGATACGATTAACAAATATTCAGTTATTCGAATACGATGGTCAAAAACGAAAAACATGCTAAAAACTTTTTAACAACAATTTCATTGAAATTTCAAATATGTTACCAGATTCCTCAGATAGTTGTGCATTGCTAAAATAAAGAATGTGTAAGCATCGAAAAAGACTTCTAACAAGTGTATTCCATTGTTCTTTTTTTTTTAATTCAGAACAACCTAAACGATTTGGCATTAGTTTCGAACCTTTTTCTTCTAAACAACGGCGTCTCTATATACTGAAACGAAATACTTTACTTTTGATGTGAAATTTGCTGAACACAGGCTTACGTAAAGTCTGCAGAAAATAAGAAGCCACCGCACTTGGTTGGATGATCAATTTCCAATTTTGTGTGAACAAGAAAAACTTATTTGCAGAACGAATTAGATAGTTTTGTTGAGCAAAAACTCTTCTATCGAATATGCTTAGAACAGAACGTTTCTTCTATATTCAATTTCATAATGAATCATTTTGATTGATAACATTAGGGCCGAACTGAGAAACCATCGAATAGGACCAAATTAGGGGCAAACGTTCTAACTGACATATGAATTTGTCTATTACTTTGAAAAACATATAATCAGATCCATTTGATAGATCTCTTAGACCATATGTATGAGTATAAAATGACCAAAAATCTTCAATATAACTGATAGATGTTATATAGATAACATTTTGTTTCCAATCTCGTTGTTTATCAGCCTTGTAAAAGTAAGTACCCCAAGAATATTTTAATTGTAATTTATCATCATTAGATTGTTGTTGTTGTTGATTCGGAAATTCGAGACGAGCAATCATTGATGAAGTAATATTATTAGAACATTCTTGTTTATTATCTTTAATTTTTTCTGATTGAATTTTAGAATTATTGTTATTATTCATTTGTAAATTAATAATACTTGAAGTTGTCATTGAAGATAATTATTAAATATAAGATGAAAGATTTTTTTTTTATTCGATAATGATCATCATTATTCAAAAGATAGAGATGAAGAAGCAACAACAAGAACAATTTATTTTCTAGCTAAAATGATCGTTACATCAGACAATTTCGCGCCAATTGCTCACATTAATAAGACAATAGAAAGAAAAAAAGAAAGAAAATGCAATACAATGTCCAATATAATATTTCAATGAATTAATGTTTTTCCTTGATTATTTTTATTATTATGTTATGCCCTTCTATCTTCCTATGTGTCCAAATGATTCTATGAAGTGTTGATGGTGTGTGAATGAAGGAGAAATATTCTTTTACTAAGTTACAAAGATAACATATTGTATGTTCTTTGTTAGTATAGAAAGGTGATATATGAAGAACAAAAAATAATTGAAAAAATGAAGGTGTACTGCCGCTTCTTTATTGCCATACATAGTATGTTTTTCTTTTGTTTGCTTGAAAGTGTAACAAAAGTTTTACCAGATGTGTAACAAATAATAAGAAAAATCATGGTAACAGAACCAACTGTTTCATCTCTATGGTTTGTAGAATCATCAGAAGATAACCATACTACAGCTAGTAGATCAACGACAATTGATAATCATTCATTAATTTCATATTATCCATATAGTTCATTATATAAAGCTGAAATATTGATTGATGGACATTTAAAAAAAAATTGGAATACATGTTGGACAAAAGTTGTTGCTGTAAATGAATTAATTATTGGTTTACTTATATTTATTATTGGTATACTTATGGTTCTTTTTCAATTATCACTTTCATCAACAGCTCATGGTATATGGACAGGTGCTTTAGTATTTATTGCAGGACTATTTGCTTTTTTTACTATTATTTATCGTCGTCATCGATTCTTTCTTGTCGTTGCTAGTATTCATATTATAACTGGTTTAGCATCAACAATTTTAATTTTTATATCAGTTTTTGCTATTGCATTACAAATGAATAATAAGAATTCAAATTTTACAATAAATATTAATGATCGTCAACTTAACTATGGTTTACATGTTACACTCATTATTTTAGGTATTTATGAAAAACTGTTATGCTATACATTCTTAATAATGATCATTCAACACACGCACAAGACGGTCTAATCATATACAGACATAGATTGTTTTTTTTTTCTTATTGTGATGATTTATTATAGATGCTAGGACTGTTGCATCTTGCCATATATATATATATTTGTTCATTTTAAAATAATTGTATGCATTCGAAAATTAATGAATCTCTATTTGATTGTAAAGTCATAGTCTATTAGTAGTAGACTTTTCTCTCTATTTATGGTAATTCTATCTCTACAATTATTCAAAATCAATGTTGTATATTTGAAGAGAAAAAGAAGAAGAAGAGATGACAAAATATGTTAAGCCTTTTGTTGGCTTACGACCAATTGAGTAAATGTCAAAAGAAATCTTGAACATAGTTGATTTTCTTGTTATTGTCATCGTTTCGTTCACAAGACTAACGTTCGCCAAAAAAAAAAAGATTTGCAGAATCTGTCCGACATTACATTCTATTTTTTCTTCGTTCTTTCCATTTTTCTCCGGCAAATGCGAGAACAAAATGGATGCAATTATCCGTTTTTTTTTCTGTATGTGTATGTTTGATGAACATCCTTGGATGTAGTAAGAGTAAAAAAAAAAAAAAAGAATCATTTTCTTTTGTTTACCGTCACTTTCTCGTCTAACTAAATACTTTTGCCTTGCACTTCTTTACTATAGATAGATAGTGCAGCTTTCAACGGCTTTTCTTGTCAATGGAAAGAAGATACATTGTCTTCAAGTATTTCTTTTATACTCTCTAATCAAATTCTTGTCGTCAAAGCGAGTGATGGGCTTTCATTGCTCCTATTAAAAGGAAAATGTATGTGAACATGACGAAGGAAAAAGAAACACGGAAACTATACTCTTCTTTCAATGTCTAATTTTGACATCTAGCGTGCATGCCACGAAGGGAACGTGCTATAACGAAAAAACTCCATCATAGTCGTCGTCGTCGTCATCAATTAAATTTAACGCACTATGCACAGAAATATACGTCGAAGATTGGTTTCAGAACAGACGAAACGCAAACTAGAATAGTGACCGATACGATTAGACGACAACTTTTCGCCCCTAGAGGGTTCTTGACGACAACTTAGAGAAAAAAAGATTAAAGTAAGTGGATGAATACTAGTGTTTTGCATTTTAATAACTATTTTAACGCTATTCTAATAAAAAATACGAGCGTGTTGTTACTACAATTTTATGTGTCGACTGATGTCCACTTGTATGCTGCATTAATGATTCAATTTTCTATATGCCGCAAACGCATCGTCATCACTTCAATAAACAGCATAGCTTTGGCTTCCACGATTGATTTAGTACAGAGTCTGTTCGTTACACATACACACACGCACACACACACACAGACACACACATCTTATTCTCAGGAGACAGTTTCCTCCCGAGCATAAGCGCATACATCCGTGCACTAGTATGCCATAGTACGATAGAGAAAGAGAGAGAGAGAGAATGAGACCGGTGACATGTCATGAATGATGTTCAACAGAGGAAAGACTCTACTCACCATTATTTAGAAGCAAGGAAAAAATGAACAATCATCATCATTGCCGTCCAGGGTGGAACTCAGCAGCATAGCAAATATCGAGAAAGAAAAACATGATGACGATTTTTATTAGAAAATGAATAAGCATACTTATTCATCTTTTTTCCATTATGTAATCATCATCATCATCATCTTTTGCTTCTTCTCGCTTTTTTTTCTACAATAATTATTTGTGACAATAGGTTAATTTGAATGAAAGCAATATCCATATAATCTTTTCTGTTTTTTCTTTTCGTATAAGATCGAATGATGAAATTTACTTTTGATTATAGAATTAATTTTTGTTCATTCTTTATTGTATTTATTTAAGAACATCATCTATCATTGATAAGATTTGTGATGTGTCTTGACACTAATTGTTAGCAAACATTGACTTAATTTTCTATGGATACTTTTTTCTCTTATTGCTTACAAACGAACCGACAGAGCTTTTTCTTTTACGCATATTCGAGAATAATCACAAATGCGACGGCATCGAGTTCCGTCGTTGTCGTTCTCACACTCTTAACATTTAGAATGAGAGAGAGAGAGTGTGTGTAGGAACAAGAGAAAGATCTCGGCTTTGTTCCTCGCGGGTATTCCGCTTCTTTGTTTTCATTATTTACATAGTAAATGTGGAGCGAACATAGGACAGAGAGAAAAAGAGCTTGCGCATCGTCGGATTAAATTATTCATTAGAAAAAAAAAAGAAAGAGTAGGAAAGAAGATGAGGGAGTCTTGTCTTTACTAACGTTTCTATACTTAGATGAACTCAACTATTATTACATCATATACAGCATCTATACGTAAGAATTAATATATAATGTCTGCAATACGAAAACAAAGAAATTCAATCATATTCTCTTTGATACACCATGTTAAAATTCAAGTATTACATTTGGCATCTATTATCATTTTTGTATCATGTAATAATCAGACAAAAGAGATTTATTGATAAAAAAAAGAAATGTACATATATACTGGAAAAGAACAAAAAAAAACTCATCAAAATATTGAACAACAAACGACAACATCTGACGATTAACGAACATTATTGTGCCTAGAAGGAGTATTGACAACTTGTTGTATTACGCATGTTGTATATATATAGGGTAGGCGCGTATATCTATGATTAATCGTTTTTATGCACCCCGACTACTTTTCCTTTCTTGTGTATCACGCAAGTGGCCTTGACTGCACTAGAAAATAATTACTAGTTCGATTGAAGCTTTTCATCGTTTTGCCACTTAATATTTTGTTTAGGATTTAGCTCGACATAGATGACAATATGGTGCCCACATTCGTTGCAAAAGATTGTTATTTTGTATGTATTTGATTAAATATATCATAAAATGAATAGATGATGAAAGAAAAAGAATTACTATTAATAATAATAATAATAATATCTGGGCATCGACAACAAAAACAAACGAAAGAGACAGAAGCCAAAGAGAGAAAAAAAGCGAAAGTAAATAATAAAAAAATATTTTTGATAACAGCTGGTGCTTGGCCTCGTTTATTATTTTTTCTTAAATAGAACCAAAAATTGTTTTCCTGATGACCAAAGGGATTTTGTTTTGACTCATATTTAAATCCATCTGTCTTGATTATATACATAGACACATATGCCATTCATCCATATACTCATTTGTATTCATCTCTTTCTTTTTTATTTCAGATTAATTCTGTTATGTTGAACATTCATAACGTGATCTCTCTACGGGATCTTCTTTGTTCAAATAAAGACCGAACACACACACATACACATTCAAACATATACGCATGCTGTACAACAATGAGAAGAACAAGAAAAAAAAGGAAAATTAAAAAAAAATGCATCGACCGATGTTGAGCTGGAACGCTTTTTTCTCCCTTTTTTTCCTTTCTTTTTCGTATTAGTTGAACTATCTGCTTTTGCCGTAGGTTTTCTTTCTTATTCTTATATATCTCGAGCAATAACGAATAGTTTTCCCAGAACCATTGAACTGGAATGGCGTCATATATATATATATAACAGAAGGAAAGAAAGAAAAAAGAAAGAAAGAAAAAAGTCTTTTTCTCATCAATCCAATTTAATTTTATGAATGTAAGCAGGTGTCCATTTTCTTCGTGCTTCCGGTAGATTGACTAGTGGTGAAATATTCCGTTTTTTTTTCTTCTTATATTTTTTTTCTTTTAGTTGAGATAGTTCTTTTTCTATAAGCACTTGACCGAGGACGTGCGTGTGCGTTCAGTGCATAAAGAAAGCTGCAGAGAGAAGGAGGGTGGGAAAAGGGGGCGCAAAAAATGGGGAGACAGAGAGAGAGAGAAAAAGATACGAATGTACTCTGCTTCTCTCTCTCTCTCTCTCGTCATCACCATCATTCGGCCATTCAACTACTTACGCGGAAGTCGGAAGAAGAACAAGAGAGAGAGAGAGAGAGAAATATTGAGAAAAAAAGTTTCATAGGATCGGAATTATTGCCGTCTAAAACAACAACAACTACACTACGCAAAAAAAACAATGCGGAATTGTGGAATAACGAAATCGATAAACAGACATTAATTAAAGTAATCAATACTAAGCGAACAACAATAATAATAATAAAACTAACAATTGGTATGGAATATTATTTTATATTTTTGGAAAAATGCCAAGATTTAAGCAGTGTTCTTCTTTTTTCTTCTTCTTTTCAGAGATCTACAGATTAGGCACACTCGATGGGGCGAAAACTATAGATAGATAGATTTTTCTTCGTCTTTTTTTCTTTGCTCTACAGACGAGTTATCCGACCGTAAATTAATCCGTAAATGGTTTACATCGGTCTGTGCTCTATATATAAATATATGTATGTGTACGATGCATATATTGTTGCCTATCAAAGAAAGTTTCTTGTTTTTCTGTTGTTTTTTTTTACATAACTACATGGTAAGATTACATTTTGTTTTTTTGTTTTTCTCTCTTAGATCAAAAATAAATATGTTTTTCATATCAATTATCTTTCTAATTATTATCGATCTTTCAATACAATCAGGTCGACCAGCATTAAAATTAACATTTACGCCCGATGAAAAATACTTCACGAATGGTCATCAAGTTGATATTCAATGTGAACTACTTAATCCAAATGATCATACAGAAGCACCACAATTATGGCATGTTGATATAAAAACTGGTAAACATTCACCAATATCACGTCTGTTAATAAATTCACCATCAAATGAAGCACCCGATTCATATAGACGAAATTCTAATAAACGTATAGAATTTATTAAAAAGAATCATATACGTATAAGACATTTACAATTAGAAGATTCAGCACGATATGAATGTAATTGTCCTGATTGTGAACAACAATTAGAAGAACAAAAAAAAGTTTTACAAGTTATGAGATTAGCTGAACCTAGATGGCATATTGAACCTGGTTGGCCAATACAAGAAAATGCTAAAACAACAATAAAATGTACAGTTGATGATTTTTATCCATATGTTAGTCATAAAATAATTCGTAATCATCATGAAATAAACGATGGTAAAACTACACCACCAAATCCAAATACATTTCCGCAAAAATTTTCTTGGGAAGCAACTGTTACACCCACAGCTGATTGGCATAATCAAACATTACAATGTACAGTTACTCAAGGTTTGTATTTATTTTCTCCTTGTTTTCATGAAATAAACAAATTATTCTATTCTTTATAAAATAGGTAATACAGAACAACATGCACTAAAAGTTCTTGATGTTTTATTTACACCACGCTTTCTTAAATGTGATGAAAAACAATATGTTAATTCAACAAAAGAAAATGCAACAATTGAATGTTCATATTCAGGAAATCCAGCACCTACATTAACATGGTTTCATCAAACAGATGAAAAACCTATTAGATCTGAAACAGGTATTACTATTGAAACAAAAGATGAACATCATGGTAAATATAAAAGTGTTGTTACATTTGATCGTGAAAAACTAATTGCTATACCATTAACAACAACAACAATGGCACCATCTTCTAATGGAAAATCGGATACAACAATTAAACCAAAAGCTACAGGAGATAATTATTATCAACAATTATTAACTGATGGATTTATTGTTAAATTAACATATAATAATGAAGAAAAAGGTTTACATAAAATAAATATAGTTAGTGATGTAAATGAAGTACGATCAAATGCACTTGATAGTTCATCAATTAAAACGATACACAATCTCTCAACATCTATTATGTTCTTATTATTTTTAACTATTCTCTATATGATACAATATCATTGAAAGAAACCAAATCAACAAACAAACTTTTCTTTTTGTTCATTTTACAATTATATATATATATACATGCATAAATATTCGTTCTACTTCAACTTTCTAGTCTCTCGTATTTTTCTACTAATTGTTTTTTCCTTGCTTCTCTTTCGTGGCCTGTGTACTTGGGTTTATTACATCGATTTGGTATGAAACAAGAGAGTATACTGGACACGGACATTATATACATATTATTATTTGTGCAAATCGTCTCGAACAGTGCTCGTTGTGCAACATAGAAATACAAAAAAATAAAGAACTAATTTCACATTTGTTTATTGTTGTATTGTATACGTAAATGTCTAATATTCGCCTGGCTATTTGTTTTTTTTCCTTTCTTTTTGTACAAGTTTCTCGTTCTAATTTACATGATTTTCTTTTTATTGTCAAGACAATCGGTCGAACAACAATATTTCTTAGTAGAGACATGCCGCCGGATGTGAACTAGCTCGCATTTCACACTCGACTAGCTGTCTGTCTGTGTGCGTGCGGAATTACTTTTTTTTAAAGCTTATGTCGAATCTAAATCGGACAGTGGTCTATGAAAGCACTTATCGTCTTTGATGGCGATGATAAGAAATGAGTTCACATCCGGATTGCTGCAGCAACACGTCTTAATTGATTTCTTTTTCTCAATTCAGCAATCACCCATGGTGATAAAGTTTTCATCATATAGAAAAAAAAAAATGTCATCGCAGATGGATAGAAGATCATGTTGCGAATATAAATGAGTTATTGACATCTGTCACATCTGGAAGCTCTTTTTTTTTATTTGAATTAAATTTTAAAACTTTCTGTTGTTGTTTTTTTCTTTTTTTTTTTTTTGATAAATATGTAGATGATTATAATCAAATCCCAATGCGGCATTATTCATTGATGCTTATCGCAAGCAGAATCGATTGAACTACGGGGAATTATTGTTTAACATATAAGAAAAAAAAAGCAACAATCAGTTATTCTATTAGAGAAGTTAATAAAAATTTTATTTACATGTCTGATAGTCAAACAATTCGTCAACATCAATGTAAACGTTTTTGAAAATAGTATTGAATGAGAAGATTATATTTTTATGTAAATACATACAAGTGACATTGAATGTCATTTTGAATAATTATTTTCATCGTCGTTCATCTTAACGATGGATTACTGAGCAGATGCATCAATGTAAGGTTAAATGAATTTTTATAAATGCTTTCAACAAACAAACTAAAAAAAAGAATGCTTTTACTAGTAAGGATAAAGAAGCAGATGATATGCAAAATAAGTTTTTCTTTTTTTTTTTGTTCTAGCAAAAAATATATATTTATAGAAGTTAAGCTCATCTAATTGAATACCATCTGTTCTCTTATCAAATCGTTTTCTTTTGAAGTTTTGCTTGAACTGTATTGAAGATGATGAGTGACTAGTCATTTTATGTTCTTGTCTGAGAAGACATCATATCTTCTATACTATTTCTGATCATCGAAATGATTTCCCATGAGAGATAAAAATGAGAGCATCATTGGATCGATATAGAAAAAAAATGAAAAAAAAAAGATGAAATGAATGGTTATTGCATTCACATTGCAATCTATCATTATATTCTACTGACCAGTACATTTGGTTAATTGAATAATATAATTTTCTTTCTCAGACACTGTACTAATTTTTTTAATTAAAATTTTTTCAATATTTTATATACATTCATTAATTATAATTAGAGATTAAAATTAATTATGGAAATATTTTTAAAAAGGTAGACTGAATGAACTTTTTCTTGCAAACTACTTCATATTCTATTTAGTGTTAAGCCATTGCCAATAAAAGCAAATATAATCTTTCTTCCGTTTTCATAATTATTATTTACAATTTTTTTTTTCTTTTTTTCTAATAAAAAGCAGGAAACTTTTTTCTTTCTATAAGATTAAAGACGACATTATTAATTATCTTCTTAGGATAGTCATTATGAAAATGCAGAAACCGAAAGTCGTCATTGTATGCCAATATGCTTTGTTTTGCACATAAAAAAAACTATTTAACACCACTGATTGTTTTTGTAAGTTCTTCTCATTCTTTGTCTGACTTTCATATTCATAATTAATTATTTATATTCACGAACACGATGTATAAAAATATTTCTTTTTTTTTCTAAATAATAATTACATGAAAAAAAAAATAGCATCAGGAAAGAGCTTACACTGCTCAATTATATATAATTATATACATGGACATTATAATCACTAAGACAAAAAAAAAGGATCATATTTGTAGAACAAATTTTTATAATTGAAAAAAATGTATAAATGAAATAAGTAGAGCAAACTAGAATTAATACTTAATACATGTAGTATCGTTTAGATATGTTGAAGACACATGAATTTTAATTATTTCTTTGTTGATATTCTAAATGGAAAAAATCTTTTGAAATTTTGACTATATACATAAACTTCAATAAACATGAAAATTTGATTACTTCAAATATTTATAATCAATCTCATAAATAATCAACATGTTCATTTAGGTACATGTAGTCAATGTGTTTTACAATAGGAAAAAAAAACAACAATGTTTGATTTCACTATTAATTTAAATAGAAAATGAAATTCATTGACATATCGTTTAAAAAATTTTCTTATGCAATCATGGTTATTTCTATTATTTTTAAATTAATACATAGTTATTAATTTCTTGTGACATATTCTTCATTCATAAAAATCAAATATTATTTTATTTCTAACATATATAACTTGCCCTCTCGTATCATCATTTTATAGGTATGAATTAAATTGTGTGACTAATGTTTTGACATAATTGATAATGATGTAAATAATTATCAACAAAAGAGCGAAATAAAACATTTAACTATCACTTATTTCAAATTGAAAAAAAGAACTTGTATAAAAAGAAGACCTTGTCTATAAGATAGATCAGTAACTTTTGATATGACCTATAAATATCAAGGTCAAAGAAACCAAATGTTACACTTGATTGATTATTAACACTTTCTTATGTATGCATTTCAATTGATAAATAAAAGAGAGAAGCGACAGTCAATCGAGAAAAAAAAAGAACCATCTTACTAATAGTTGTAGTAATTTTCATTTATCATTATTGACATTTACTTAAGAGAAACTGATACCTCTTAATTAAAATACAAAAAAAATAATAATGTCTTCAACATCTTATGATGAAAATGAGTTTTCTCATCGACAAGGAAGCCTTACATCGCTTGTTGATGAAGAAGATCAAATATCAACTGCTAGTGATTTACCAATAAAACGACAAAGTCAAGATTCATCATCAAAACAACGTTTATCACCATCATCATTTTCAAATGCTTATTTAAAATTACGAAATGTTGATGATACTCAATTACTTCATATTGAAAACGAATCTCAAATAGCAAGTATCGATCTTGAAGCTGTACCTGATATAAGTCATGAAGATAATACAATGAATAGTTGGCAGCATTTATCAAATAATATATCAACAGATGATCAAAATTATCAAAATATATCACAATCAGATTCTATGGATGAAATTACAGTAAGTTTTGGATTTCAACATCAAGATGATACAGAAAATAAAGATCAATCAAAACAAAATTCATCGGAAGAAATAGATTCGACAGTTGATTATGAAACATTTGTTCGTTCAAGACAACTTTATGTTGATCCAAATCCAGAATTAATACGAAAACCACTCATGATTTCTCCACTTGCATATAAACAAAATATACGAATTAAATTTTTAAAACCACCACCTGTTCCACAAGGACCTTTAATTATTCGTGAAGTTCGTCCACCTCAACCTCCACCACCACCACCTCTCGTATTTTTAAATCTTTATCTCTCTAATCAAGAAAAAAAGAAATCTTTATTTTTTTGCGTAAAAGGTTATTCGTCAACGCCCTATACCTCCTGTTACACAACCACCCATTGTTCTTCGTGAAAAACCTCCACGAGTACCGGACATGACAAAAAGTAAAGTTTAGGTTTTATTTTTTTTATTTTTTTAAATCAAGGCGTTCATTATTTAATTAGCACAAGTTTTAACAAAAACTCTTCCTCCTGTTCCACCTCCACCACGTTCAATTATCATTGAAAGAGTACCTTCATTACCACCTAAACCACGTGATATTATTATTGAACGTTGGATACCTTATGAATCTATGGCACAAAAACGTAAAGTTATTGTTCAACGATGTGAAGAACCAAAACCATATCCACCACCAAAAAATGTTATCATTACGTAAAAGAATTTCCTTTTTTTTGTTTTTATTAATTTTCTATATTTCAATTGTTTAAGATATGATAATGTTCAAGTAAAAGTTTTTCGTCAATTTGAACGACTTGGTATTACACCTGAAGATCCTCAAAAATATTCAGCACGTTATGGAGATTCTTTACTTGATACAAAAGATTTATTAGCACAAGCAAAAGAACTTGGTATTACAGAAGATATTGTATGTCACACTTTTTTTTTTTATTTTGAATAATAACAATTAAAATATTATATTTTGATTTAGTCACCACCACTTTTAACCGATCCTGAAATCATAAAACAATTAACAAATAATTCATTAGATAAAGTTAAACTTGAAAAAAGTTCGTCAGGTAATAATACAACGGATAAAGCTATTCATAGTGATATAGATAATAATAATTATACTCCTGCATATGAAAATCTTGTCGATGGATCATTATCATCGATGAGTCATAATGGATGGAGTGAACATCCGATCGATGAAAAAAGTATGAAGTTTCTTGTATCAACAGACGTTTTTATAATCTTCTTTTTTTTGTGTTTTTTGTTTATTAGATAGTACAGATGATGTATATGCTCAAAAAGCTCATTATGGTTTGACGACGGAATCAACTTCACATTAAGATAAAAGATCTTTTTTTTTCTTTTTTTTTCTTTTGTAATTTTAATAGAGTAGGGATTCAATTAATTTTTGTTTATCTGTTTTATTATCGAAAGAATATTTTCAATGGTTAGAAAGAAAGAAAAATAAGGCTAGATATTAGTCTTATTTTATTTATTCTTTAGGAATCATTTCCTATCTTTGTTTGAAATAAAATATTTAGAAAAGGAAATATTCTTTTTTGATTGTTTGCAAAACTCAAAGAATGAATCTCATACAAATAATTAATGAATACTTGAGAAATAAAAAGCTATTAGTGCAATCTCTTTGGAATTCAAATATGAAACACGATGAAGCTGCTAGTAATATATAAGAGGAGATTAATCAATACGTGTTACGGTTTATGAATTCGTACCTATTGTTAATGCATGTTGATGATGAAAGATATTAATTACAATTTATTATAGTCAGTGTGAAAGAAAACTGAAGGACAACTATCATTCTAATGCCATAGTAGACTTTGACCTCGCGGTTATGATTGTCGCCATGGAAAAGTCTTGCTAAGATGTCTGTCATATCCATGAAAGATCTAGATTTCTACGCCCTATACTTCAACATTCATTTTAGATCTTGTTTCACAAAAAAATAGCGCCCATTTAATATAATATTTTCACATATAAGAATGACTTGTTATAATGTACTGTAATCATATTATTTTCCATTCTCACTTCTAACACATGAATTTTTCTTCCTTTTTTTTGTTTATTGATCACTTCATAGTGATCAGCTATCTATTTAATGGGCTGCAAAATGTTCACACATATAACAGAAATGTAACATATAGATGATAAGCAAGGACGATGCAGACACAATAACATAACATGCAAACAAGTCTTGTTGCAAGCTTTGTTTAGTTCTGTTTTCATCACTATGCGCCTATTCGGAATCAAATCTAAAAAAATCGAGAATTCTTTTTTTTATCATAAAAAGATAATATGACAAAAATCTTTAAATCTAAAAACATTTTCAACAAGTTGAGAAAACTGAAAAAGATTCAATTGATTCGAATACTTTTTTTAGTCATATACATGTATAATTCTTTTGATGATCAATCATAAGGATTCGATGAATTTTGTCTTCCATACAATGCGTAAATGAATGGTATATTATGTCATCTTGTGTCTTGCTATTCTATCAGTACATATATGATTGGAGAATAGAAAAAGGAAACATATCTGTATTCTTCCAAGATTGTTGTTTTCCTCTCAGTTCCAAGGACAATCAATCATGGCCAAACTAACAATTTGTTATTTAAATGTATTTGAAAATCATTTATTTCCTTTAACAACTCTATTGAATGAACATAATGAATCACTTGAAATATATCAAACAAAAGTTGGTTCTGTTGGTAGTTGGTGTTGGGAATCAGCAATATGTTTAGCTGAATATTGTTATGATCATATGTTTAATCAATTTAAAAATAAACGTATTGTTGAAATAGGTAGTGGAACTGGTATTGTTGGATTACAATTATGTGCATTAGGTGGAAATGTTACTTTAACTGATCGTGAAGAATATCTTGAATTAATTAATTATAATATTAAAAAAAATCAAGATATTCTTACAGGACAAGCACAAGCGAAAACATTATTTTGGGGTGATGAATTAAATAAAAATGATGATTATTTTCAAAATCTTGATTTTGTTATTGTTGCTAATTGTGTATATCATTCAATTGAATTAGATGAATTAATTAAAACAATATGTAATTTATGTCCTGAAAATTCTCAAACACGTTTATTATGTTGTTATGAATTACGTAATGATGGTATTCGTCAATTGGTAAATGAATTTCATAAGAAATTAATTGAAAAAAAATTTTCTATTCAATATATTGAACAAAAAGATTTACGTGTAAAATATCAAAATGATTATAATTCAATAGTTAAATGTCATCGATAAAAAATTGATTAAACACGAAATTTTTATTTTTAGTGGAAAATGATTGATAATGATTTTTGTTCTAAGGTTTTATAATTATCTATAAGAAAAAAGTGTTAATATCAATACTAATTAAATGATTTTTATTTGTTAACATTTTATTTGAAAAGAAGTAAAAGTTATTTCAAAAAAATTCTTGAGCAGTGCTGGACTATCAGTCTCAATTTATACACAGCACATCAAGGAAGCAATTGCTAACTTCGATTAGCGTTTTCCTAGGAACCTTCATTGCATTTTATTCAAAATAAACATTGAAGTTTTGTTTAAGACAGAGATAGATTTCATATTACTATTTTAATTCTTGCTAAAATACTGCATTACACAGAATAAAAATTTTTAATACTTAGATTTTTTTTTTTTGACTTCTTTTCTAAACTCTACAAAATGTGATAATAAACTAAGCAGTAACTTTCAATATAAAACGGTTATTGCTTTTTCAAAACCGAGCACTTAAGAAAAACAAAGATTGAGATTGCTTGTTGAAAGACATAAAACACTTTAAATATTTCAACTTTAGGTTTTGAATTGCAATATTGAAAATATGAAAATTCTTTGTCTCAACTAATTTTTTAAACTTTTCAAAGATTATTTCACTACTATCGAACAAAATTTCTTAGCCCATATTCAAAAATCTTCTTCATATATAGTTAGTTTAAAGAAAAAAAAATCCTTCTTTATATTTTTAGCAAAGTTTACTAAAGTTTTTAGTGTTTTCTCTTATAATTGGTCTATTAATATTTCAATTTGTATTGAAGTTAATAATTGAAGATTCACTAGATGTTCTTAAAAAGAAACCACTTCAAATCATCATTTTCTTCTCTCGACATTTTTCACAAGCCAACTAAAGTTCAGTCTGTTGCAATCGTATTAATATGCATAAGCTTGTCGAAAAGCGACAAGCTTTGATAAAATCTATTTCCTCTATGTCCATTAGTTCCATTAATTCTAGCTCAAGGCACTTTTACGGTCTTATATAATCCATTCATCACAACGTCTTTTTCATCTATAATTTCACCTTGATAATTCGTTAATACATCCTGCAAATTATAATGAATAGTTGGTCAGATAGAAATCAATTGTTTATTATATGAACACTCGAACAAATCATTACTATTTTCCTAATATTTGTAGTAACATTAATGTAATAATTCTGGATTCGTGAACCAATATTGCATGAGATAAGAATTTTAGAGAATATATGCAAGAAGAAATAGTCGTACCACCGCTAGAAACATCTATACTGCAAGCATGTATACATACAAAACTCTTATCTTTGTTGTTTTCTGTCGCATTCATCTAACAATTTATTTTAATAGAACATTTTTTAAAATATTGATAAAATTATTAAAAAAACTATTTAGACAGAAAACAATTAAAAACAAAACCTTGTAATCAGATTTATTCATAGATATCATCTAAATCATATTCTTTCAAAAAAAAATAATCCTTATAAAATCAAACAAATATAATTGACCATAATCCAAAATAAACTATAAATTTTAATTTTCAACGAACAAAGATAAGAAATTGACTGTGCTACTTAATTTCTTCATTCTTTTTCTTCGCCATCTATTTTCCATACACGTGCAACAACTTCCTGTAAATAATCTGTAAAAGCAAGATATTTGCCTCTTAACCATACTAATGCACGATATCGATTTGAATTTGTTTTGTTTGTGCATCTCGGGCGCATTGGTCGTAAATTGTCTGCATTGGAATCACTGGTCAGTGCTGTCCATGTCCATGTTTGTCCACTATCATTTGTATTGCCACAAAAAAGTTCATAATGACGTTGTCCATCGTTACGACTAATAAGTGGATTTCCTGTCAATGGATCACTGTTTGTCGATATATATACAATAGATGGATTATCAGGTTCAATTGCAGCTAAACCACTATAGTCATCTTCACCAGCATAAAGACGGCAACCAGCATAAGCAAGTAAATAATTATGCCATATAGAACCATCCCATCGTGCATAAAAATATCGTAAATCATCACCACCTTGACCTACAGGAAGACCTGCTGAATTGTATTGAACACTATAAATACATACTGGATAATCCTTATTATCTAAGACAAGATCAACAATCCATGCAACATGTTGTGGATCACCACGATAAATTTGTGTACCTTGATTCGGTGAATCGAGTCCAACTTGTAATGAACATAATTTTGTGCCATTCGATTGATATAATTGTCCAGCTCGATAATAAATATGATACAAACTATTATCATAATTACGTGGATGTCCTTCTGTATATACCATATGTATTGTATCATGTTCATTTGATATATATCGTACATATGGTCGATGTTTTTGTACTGATGGAACATTTATATAAATATTACCAGTATGCCAAGTTGTACCAAGATCATCTGAATACATATAGGATGGTTTGTAGGAACCATCAAGACCTCGAAAAAAATTATAAATACGGTTCGATTCATTTGGAAGAAGAAATAGATTTGCATATGTAAGTTCGGTAGTTGGTGATGGTGTATAAAGTTGAACTGGGCTAAATTCACGAAAAGTATTTTCATTCATAAGAGAAATTCGTGAGTAATTATGTGGCTCTGTGCTATGTTTTGCATAAAAAATAAGCAATCGACCATCAGGTCTTATAAGTAAAGCAGGTCCATCATGATCATCTAATTCAAATTGTTCATGTAATATTACATGATCTGTAATGTGAGTTGAACAATCATGAATATGAAGTTCAATATTACCATGACGTTTTTTATCATGACCACCTGATGCAACCGATCCTACCAGAAGCAGAGGACCATGTTGAAGAGCACCTGGATATTCAAACCAACACCATCCACCATCATCACTTAATATGAATGTTTCACTTGTATAAACATCACTGTTTCTTGTAATACTCTTTGACATTACCGTGTTTTTTATATCTCTAAAATAATATCAATATTGTTGGTAACCAACAGAATTGATATATTTCTTTAATAAA